TGAATAGATATTGCTTACCTCGTAGCTTCGGCATCCTTCTTCTCTGCAAACATATGAAAACAATGGTGCTTGAGAGAACAGCTAAAGCAATGAGACTAATCAAAGCTACTGCAATGATCAGAGACAATGGAATCTTTCCTATTGAAGAACGATCTTTTTTCTCACTGTAATGACCTGCTGCAATCAGAAACAGAAAACAACTCGTAAAAGGCATATCGTTCCATACTTATGAGCAATTCTAGAATTCTTACCTTCTGTACATTTCAACTTCAAACCATCCCATTTAAACTTTGCATTACAAAGGCACAATTTCTTTCCATCTATTCTTGCACTGCAACTTGAATTTGGCCAATATTTGCAGTCTGAAGAAGAAAAACAAGTTGGCTCAGGTGGCGGATCCCAACCGATCTCAACCTCGTCTCCACCCGTGAAAGAAATAGTTGAACTAATGTTACCCAGATCAACATTGCAAAATCTAATCACATGGAATGGAGATGATTGATTGAGCTGTAATAGATTTCCATTTGATTTTATGGACTTGCAACTATCTGCAGTTTCAGTTTGGATGACAAATGAGTGCATTCCAGGATTGATTTTTGTGACTCTGTAGGTGTCGCCTCTTGCCTTAAAGTTAAGCTGGCCTGACGAGAGGTTGCAGTAGAAATTAAGGTATGCGGGATCACCACATTTTGGTCCAGTGCTAAGGGGATAGGGAATCATGTTAGTTCCACAAGTCCCACAAGTTGTTGCTGCTGATTCTGCAGAAACAGAAGTTCTGAAAACTCAAAAACACTAACCATTGCAATCTAGTTATATACTATCAAAGCGCATGTTCGACAAAGGAATTCATTTCATTTCTCAAACCTCCATGATCATAGCCTTAAGAAAGGTTAGCAAGTGTAGGATCAAGCAAAATGCAGAGACTAGGATCACCATCTTTTTATCCTTTTCTAATGGTTGGACTAGAATCACTTTTAGAATAACCGTGAGGTTTGTAGTATTTTTGGAGTCACTCACTATATCGTAAGGTGTAAGGGCAACCATAGCCCAGTGACCTCATCTGATAGGGGAATAGCGAAATCAAATTTGTAGAGAGCTCCAATTGAAAAGCAGACCCACATCAAAAGCTTTGTTTGCAGAAATTAAACAACAAAGAGTTTTACATGTTTTAGAAAGGGGAAAAAAACTTACCTATATCAGAGACTGATACGCGTACATGGAGATCACGGCCACCATCATACTCCTCTTGAATGTCCCTGAGATCATCAGTCCAAATCCAGCAGGTGGCACTTTCAGGTTCACCTCCTTTAGTGGTTTCTGCTTCTTCATATGAGAAAGCCTCACATTGGCAGTTGTTGAGGCACTCCATTTTACATTCCACCTCACTGTTAGCCTTGAATTGTGCATCCGGATTTACTACTTTCATCATCTTTAAGCTCAAAAATGTGTCACTTGTAGCACTGTTGCTGCATAATGGTGATCTTCTGGTGCATCCTCTTGAATTATCTCCAGAATTCCAGTACTCTGGTGAGACAGGCTGAAAACCAGGCAAACATTTACAAACCACTTCATTATTACTATTGCAGCTACCAAAATTACCGCAAGCATTATAGAGACTGCATCTAGTCCTAGGCTGGGCCCAAATCACGGACCAAGTCTTCTCAGTATTCAACTGCAGGTACTGAATTTGGCCAGCAAAACTCATCACCATTCTTGTATTTGTGTACAAAGATGAAGTGATATACGGAACAGAATCATTGCGGACTGAAGTCGAGGTGAAATTTGACAGGAAGTAAGATATTGCAGAAGGCATTTCACTTCTGGAGCTGAGACCATTATCCGAAATTCCACTTCTCCAGTACCTAATGGATCTTTTCCAAATGACAAACTGGTTTGCTTCTCGATCTAGCTGAAAACTGAAGTTTCCAGATGCTGGGTCATCATAACTTTTCCATGAAATGAGTGCCATATCTTCATCCAATTTCATCCCTGGAAGAAATGTTTCAGTTGGATTTTCAAAACTCTGCCACAGAATTCCTGTCAAGTGCTTCTCATCATCTTCATCGCTGACGACCAGGTTACCAGTGTCCATTAGCTTGGCTATCCTGTTCATAGAGGATGGTTTTTCAAGATTTATTGACCAGAAAGATCTCCCCCTCCCGTCCAGTATCTCAAGGTTTCCATTCTCGTCAACAGAGAAGACTCCACTGTGATCTAAAAGTGGATTGTCTCTATTTGCAACCCACACAACCGTGCGTGGACTAGACTTGTAATACCAAATGCCAACATATCTTCTTTCAGTGCTTCCATTAGGAGTAAAGAAACCAAGTTCAAATTTTTCTCCATTAGAAACAAGAGTTTCTCCTCTACTGTCTCTAATAGGACTGTTTCTTGTTAAGGTATCTCCTGCCAAGCAATGCAGAAGCAAAGAACAGAACAAAAACACATACAGAAAGAAAGTAGGGGGTAGCATCTGTCTTTGAAAGTTGGTAATTATGATTATTATTCTTCTGATATTTCTTTTTACCTATGATTAGGAAAGAATGTCAGTTGTTAGATTTTTCCTCTTAACTAGACAGTCTATAATGGTAGCCAAAGATCTAATCATCTAATCTCTACTGGATCTTCTATTAAAGTTCTCACGTCTTGTCCTATCTGAAAATTTTGCCTTGATGTTGATTACCAATATCAACAATGCCCTCAAAAAGTTGAATTTAGTCAGCATGTCACAGGGCGCGTCAAGGATTATTGCATGATTACAATACTAATGACAAACTTGTCTGTATGTAAGAATTATTGATCTTCAGCTTATTTTAATGTTTAGTCTAAAGCACTAGTTACAATCCACATGAAGCTTCACATCATAGTTCTCTGCAAACTTGCTTTACAAATAGACCAATCTTTAAGCCTATATATATATACCGGAAGAAATTTACAATGCCTGGACTCATCATTGAGAATGTTCAGGTCTGAGTCACTCCAGCTCAGCCTGGGGTTTTCATTCCCCGATTCCACACTTTCTTTTAAAGGTCTGTGTAGCACAGTGATGAGGAGCAGTTGAAACTGCGTTTTACCTCAATCACGGTTTTTGAAAGTATTTAGTTAATCAACTCATAATTATAGTTTTGCAGTTTTGCATGAGACTTGTACAAAACTCTTAAAATCTTGGTTATGAAAATATTACTTTTTCAAATTATAACCACACAAATTATCACGATACTAAAAACACACTAAAGTTTTCAAAACTTGCATAAAAACTGGCCTCGTTAAGCTAAATTAACATAACCCTCTTTTTTTAACAATAATGAATATTCTCGGATCAACTTGTGCATCAACAAATACTCAATCCCCTCGTACCTAGCCCTTTGTATGAACATACAAACCAGCACTCAGTTATTATCAGGGTTGTAAAAAACTGGTCAATTATAGATGAATATTGCAATAAGAGAAAAACGAGAAAGAATATAAGATTTAAAGTCATTCGGTAATGTGCCTACATCCATAAAAATAAAGAGTCTTTATTTTTGTTATATTAAAATAGAGTTGCATAATATGTATTTATAGTCGATCATAAACCATCCAAAGAATCATAAAGTATTAATAATTTTTCTATAACACCTCTTTACCAAACAACAGGATCATTGCCCCTGCATCCGCAGTTTATTAATCGTCCCCGACAATATGACAAGAAATAAATCACAGAGAAGCAGATGTTGTCTTTCTGCTTTACTCAATATGCTCCCCTCCAAATGAAAGAAGTCACCACATTCTGTATCAGAGCAGAGAGGGTAAAACAATAATAAACTGTAATTTGAATGGTAATTTAATAGATTAAGTTGAATTATTGAGCAGGGAAGCTGTCATGCTAATGTGTGACAGAGGTCAAGGTCTTCGGATTTATGTCTATTTCATCTTTTTATCTGTGGCCCAGTAGGTTTCAAATTTCTTCATCTTTATGTTAAAAACAATTAAGAATCTATGATTACGCGGGGCTCCATAGATAAAAGCACATCTGGCTTTTTAGGTGTATCTATAATCTACATATTTTATCCTATGATAGTGACCTTTTACGACCATTGTCAATGTGCATGGATTTTTATGCTCCACGGTTCACTCACTGTTCTCTCTTTTTGACAGGAGACAATATATAAAACTAAAAAATAAAGATTCCACCGCTGTAACGTTCAAATTACATTATAGAAAATCTATGGGATGAGAGTAGTCGTCCTTGAGCCCCTTAGGTTTTCCTTCAGAACATTTTTCAAGGCTTGAAATCGATCACACAATGCCTCCTAAGCTGAGGCCCTCATGACTTCTCTACATTAGCATTTTGTTCTACAGTCCATTGCATTTTCCATCAACCTCGTGATTCAATCTTCATTATGATTTGTGAGAATCAACTTTTTTTATTTCATCTCCATTTCTGTTTAGATCATCACTGCAGTTATACAAGAAATTGTGAAACTTTGGACGCAGGTGATTCTGATTAGTCAATTGTAAATTTATTACAACTAGGCTACATGAATATCATTGCATGGATATCTATAATCAAATAGGAAAAGATTAAATCCAAGAAAAGAAAAGGCATGGATTGTGACAAAAAAAGTCAATCGATATATCTGTTGCATTCATCTCGAAATTTTTCAGTAGATTTTATATGTCCAGTTCTATAGTGGGTCGGCCAGTGTAAATAGCTAAGAAGCCGAAGATCTCCAAACTGGAATCAAACATTTATTTTATTTGACCTAATTTTGTTATTTTTCCTTTTTATTTTTGAATCTTTGTAGTTTGTTTAGTTCTAATTTTTTAGTTTATTTAAAGAGTTGTAAATCTCTTAGAAATATAGAATACTTTAAAAGAAATATTTAATAATAAAATTTTAAATTAGAGTTTTTATATTGTAAATCTATTAAGCAGAATTCTATGTTCTTGTGTTTGTGTTTGTTGTATTTCTGTAAGTTGTCTAGGTTCTGTCAACTTTTCATAAATAATATTCCAGCTTTATAATTTCTCCTTTCATGTTGCTTGATCCGAATTCACTTGACAAATTTTAAAGACAATGGCTCTGAGTAAATGGAACTAGACAAAAAACATCAAATCGATCAGAAGTATGACACGCCCTGCTAGATTGATTCAGAGGAGAGAAGGATTTCCAAAAGGCCCCCACATTGTCGTCCACAAGGTATTTGTTAACTCGACGTATGAATCTGCTTTGCTAGAAGAAGAACCAGTGCTAGAAAGGGATCTGCTCACTGCAAATCCTGTTGCTTAGAAGATAGTAGAGATGCAGTTTCACTTCCAAGCACGAAAACTATGTTCGACAAGGTTGAACGATCCCATGGATGTTCTTGCACACATAAGAGGCCAACATTCACACACCTCACAAATTCTTTGGCATCACAAGTTTCGCATAATTCTCGATCCATACAGTACCTTTTCCTCTTTCCACAACCTCCATGCCTGGGAAAACTTCGAAAATCAAAATTAGGACGTTGCAGAGACAAACAAAGAGTGGCTACAAAAATCTTGATTATTCAGATAAGCTGAAAGGCTAAAAGTTATGATTAGACTTGTAAGACGCCGTATTTCTTATCCCACAGAGTTCCAAGTACAACTAAGCCAGAGCTAAAGACATCGCCCTTGATTGAAAAACGTCATCCAATGCATACTCTGCAGACATGTAGCCACTGCACGACAAGAAAGTGTGCATCGGGTTTGCTAACTCAGACGTGTGATCAACATTTTAAGGTATCCCATGGTTAGACAAACAGTAAAACTTACCAAGTCCCAACTCCTCTCTGTGTTCTGTCCTCTGTTGGTTTGCCTCCAAAGATCCATGCCAAGCCAGAGTCAGAAATCTCGATTTATTTTTCCTTAACCATGGTATGTCTGATCCCAAAAAAGAAAAAAATATCATAACTAGCAACAGTAGGAAACTCGATTAAGGATGGAGACTACATCATGACCCTGCAGTTGTATTTGCGAGAATCTCCTTGATCATGTTTGGATCAGATATAGCCATCAACCTGGGCTTGACTCCAAATCAATGGAGAAACGCACGTCTTCCCATTCCCCCTTGACCATTCTTGTATAGTAAATTTCTGTGTTGCTTTTGTGCTTACAAAAATAAAGAAAAAATGATCCCTTTTCTTGAAATTATTGGCATCCATTATTGATGGAATGATGGACGTCAACTGTGCAGTGGGGTTGCTCGGTGAGGGTGGTTGAAGATGATATTGTTTTATATTTCAACTTTCTTAATTTGCTTAATAAAAAAACGAGGAAATGATCTATCTTTCTTTTCATACACTAGAAAATCTACAAAATTCATTGGATGCCATTTAAGTAATATTTTACAAACAGTTTTTTAACAACATCCCCGTGTTTGAATTTATCTTGGCAATAACTAAATTGCTAGCACCCTGTCTGCTGAGGGCTGGATAAAAATCTTCTCGATGTTAAAATAACGTGCAGACGACGTAAACATTTTTAAAGAAGCAAAAAATTCTAAGACTCGTGTCATTTGACACGACTGAATTCAATAAGTTTATTTAATTTACTAATATACATACATATATATATATATATATGCAACAATGGTAAATAAACTGTATGATTTTTATTTTATTTTTATAATAATCAGCTTATAATATTATAAAAAAATATCTTTTCAGTATTTTTAAACTGTATTTATAATTTTATTTAATATTAAATAAAAATTAAATAAAATTATGATAATCTTGTAGAAAATAAAATAAAAATTAAGCTCAATTCTTGGTAAATTAAATATTAAAAGATAAAATTTATAAAAATATATATATAATTAAAATAATTCAATATTAAATGAGGAATAAAAAACAATTTTAAAAAAACAATGAAAAATATAAAAAAATATATAATTAAAATAATTCAATATTAAATGAGGAATAAAAAACAATGAAAAATAAATATTTTAGTTAACCCATTAAATTTATACTTCACAATATAATATGAAAATAACTTTATTAAAAATTAATTAATTAATTAATTCCCAACTAATTTAATATTAATATAAAATAACTTATCGGTGAATTACACAAATAGTTTATTGGTGAATTACACAAGTACAATAGTGAAATTCTGAGGTTTTGTTTACAATTGCTGAACGGAAGCATTACGCATGAATGATGTCATGGAGACACGTGAGGTTTTACCTTATATTGACAAAAAAAGAAAACACCTTCCTATGGAACCGATTAACGTTTGAAGATCCAGAAGCTTTGCAATATTTTAAGCTGAGTGAAAAAATCGGATTTGAGTTAGCAAACCCAATCCATGGTAATTTTATTTATATTAATTAGATAATATTAAAAAATGATGAAAAGTTATATCCTGACAATAATTAACAAACAGTAATAACTTTTCACCTTTGTATATATATATTAACAATAACAGAAAATTAAAAAAAAATAAAGAATAAAGAAAAATAAAGAGGAGAAAAGACTCTCACAAAACATTATCGGTCAATTACAAGAAAATTTATTTTTGTTTCTTTATATATATATAAAATCTATTTCTTTGTAATCCTTTACTTCATTTTTCCATCGAAAAAGAAAGCTTGGTGCTTCTTTACTGAGCATTTTAACAAAATTTGACGCCGGATAAAAGTGGTTAAGTGCTAAGGATTTGAGATCAAAAAAATTTTTTTTTTTATAGTTTTAGATTTGAATTCTTAATTGCTTATATGATATTTTCTAAAAACTTAAATAATTATTAATTTTAGAATTTGTGAAAAATTATTTATAGTACGTATAAATTAGTCCAAAAACTCATATTAATCTCAAAAATATTTAACATGGGCGGATGTACGGTCGGCTAGATCGTCTTGTACGCATGAAAGTGCAACATTTGCACGCCTCAACAGCTCAGTGGTGTTGCAACTTTCACATAATAGTGTCTATTCCATTAAATATAGAGCTTAGAAGACTTGGGGCTTCTTAGGATAATGAGATATCTTGTGTTCCTTTCCCCACTGAGAATCTCAAGAACAACCACGCTGAAGCTAAAGACCACAGATTCGACAGATAATAATCCAATCTAATGTGTATGCTGGCGATATTAAGCCACTGCTCGTTTTTAGTAATCCTGAGTCTAAAATCTTGAAGAGGTTTAAGAGTCTGGTAGTTTGTTTATTTTTTTCGTGTTTTATTTAAAAAGATATTAAATTAATATTTTGTTTTTAGTGGTTTTTTTATAGTTTTAATTTGTTAATGTCAAAAATAAAAATAAAAATAAAAATTCTAGAAAAACAATGTTTTAATATATTTTTAAATTAAAAAAACTTTTTAAAAACACTCTAAACCGTAATAACAAATACACATACCTCCAGCACCTCCTAAATTGATGTCGAAACGCATTTCCCGAATCAGTATCTTGCCAAGATTTTATCTTGAAAGGTTTTCCATCTCAGAAAGAACATAAATTAGCTACCATGACGTCGGAAATATCATGTTATAAATTGAAAATGATGACTTTTTTTCGGAGGCTAGCCAAATATGAAGGAATCTAAGCTTTTAGTAGGCATGTATTCATAAAATCTTTTCATCTCCTTCTATGCAATAGCCTACTAGTCTTGTGAGATTCTGATGTTGCAGTCTAGCAATCAAAATCACCTCATTCTTAAACTCCTCTAGGCCGTGTCCTGAAACTCTAGAGAATCTGTCTAGACAAACTCCAACGGTTAATGTAATGTTACCCTGTAAACAGGTCCAAAGCCCCCTCTTCCAAGCTTATTTTCTTCTGAAAAATAATCTGTAGAAGCTAGTATGCTTTCTGAATCAAAGAAATGTACATCTATTCTCTTCTTATCTTCTTCCTTGAACTCTTCTGCGTCTATCAAGTTTTTGACCCGTTTCTCAGTGCCATTCAGAAGAGCTGCATTTCTTTCAGCATTTTCCTGGCTTTCCGAATTTTCAAGAAGACAAGTTCTAATTACATGAGGAATCCCTTCAGAACTTCAATCCCAACTTAAACACGGAAAATTTGTCTACTTACCTCGCCTTTTGGCCTTCTTTCTCATCAAAACGCATATGTAAAGATTGATGCTTGATAGAACTGTGACACTAGACATAGTAACTCCTACAATCAAAGACAATGGTTTCTTATTTCTAGAAGATCCTCGTGATTTCCTATCGAAAACTATAATGAAGAAAAGGGAGTGTGCAAATTATAACAAATCAACCTAGATGAAACATATGGTTTCACTACCTATGCAGTTTGGTGCAAGAGGCAGAGTCCTCAGCTTCAGTGCAGTTAGAGCTATGCCATCCTGTTGAAAGTTTGAATTGCAGAGGCATTTCTCTGTACCATTTCCTGTAACATTGCAAGTTGAATTAGGCCATTCATTGCAGTCTGAAGATGCTGTACAGATTGGCTCTGGAGGTGGCTCCTAACCAGTATCTATTTCGACCATAACTTGAGATGAAACATCAGAACTAAAATTTCCTGCTGCGGTATCACACCAGGGTTTCATGGAATTCACCTTCAATGGAAACGAGAGGTTGAACGTTTGAATTTCTCCTCTTTTCTGTTGGATGACATGATTTTGTATCTGGAATTGATGGTAGTGAAATTATAGGTGCCAATGTGTGTCTTAAAGCTGATTTTTCCGGTGGAAATATCACAGTCGAAACTCAAGTACATGGGGTCACCACAATTTGATCCACTACCTAGAGGATAACGAATCACATTTTTTCCACAAGGCTCGCAATTTTTAGCCCTTGATTCTGCAAAAATATTGGAGCTTTGTCAGGACATGGAAGACTGAAATTTAGTTCAGTTATGAATGAGGTCCACTGCTTGTCTGCGATGCTCTATCCGAGAAAACCATCCTTCCATTATGTATGTAATAAACGTATAAGAATAAGAGGAAGAGGAAGGAAGTACCTATGTCAGAAATGGCTGCACGAACAAAGAGATCGTGACCACCATAAGAATATCCTTCCTAAAGATCTTTCAGATCATCAGTCCAGATCAAGTAAATGCTGTTGCTAGGTGGTCAGTTCCTTCGCGTATTGAGGCCCCCCTTAATAAAGGAATGAGCTTGGCATTGGCACTGAAGGAAGCACTTCTCTCTGCATTGATTTTCAGACTCAACCACAAGTGGTAAGCCTGGTTGCCCAACCCTCATCATTTTCAAGCTCAAGAAGGTGTCATTCTTCCCACATTCATCGGAGCTTCTGATGCATCCACCAGAGAAATCTCCACTGTTCCAATTTTCTGGTGATTTAGGCATGAACCCCGGAAATCATTTACAAGCCAGCTTTGTATAAATTGCAGCTACCAAAGTTCCCACAGGCATTAAGCACACTGCATTTGTCTCTCGGCTCCCACCATTGCGAAGACCAGATTGTATACACATCAAAGCTCCAGTATTGAAGCTCCCCTCTAATATCCAACCTCATCATTATATTACAATAATCTGAGAGTAATAGGGCTGTTCTTTTGATTCCGGTGAAGTTCGATAGTGATAAAATCATAAAAAATCTTCGGATAAAAAAAATTAATTTTCTCAATTGGCGAATAGTTTGATGAGTGGTTCATCAGTCCAGCGACGGTGTATATTTATTATCATATATATGTGTGTGTTTATGTATGTATATTTTTGGGTTCATCAAATAGAAAATATACAATGGTCTAATTCCAATTCCTACATAGCTTCTGTAAACGGGATTTTCTTCCAGGGTAAAAAACCCAAGTTCAAACCCTTTTCTTTTTTTGCCTGCTGAAACAAGAGTTTCTCCGCTTCATCATCACTAAGCAAACTGTTCGTTGTGATGGTGTCTCTAGCGAAGCAGCACAAAAGAGGAGAGCATAGGAAGAATGCATAAGAAAA